AGTGCGTGGTCTGGCAATCTGGCATAGTCATGTCATTTCAACCAAACATCATCACCTTTTTTTCTGATAATAATAATAATAAAACATCTTTATTGAGCGAAGTTTAGAATAAGTTATACTACCACTTAACCCCTAAAATGTTTATCCACAAAATTATTATAAATTATATACTACTAAAAACGAATTAATTGTGTAACATAAATCAAAATTGTACAAAAGGGAAAAGTATACCTACTCGTTATATTATACATACATACATATAGAATGATTTTAATGCACTCAAGCCGACGAGAGAGATGAATGTATGTTAATGATCGCTCGAAAATGATTTTTTCAAAAGCAACATAGTACATGATAGTAACATTATAAGTGAAACATTTAGTAAAAGATGAAGTTATGTGAGGAAGCATTGTTATTGTATCAACAAAGCGAATATCTCCTGAGTGCATAGAGCCACGAAACTTTAACTTATCTTTCAAAAATCGGTGAGTTGAGGTAAGTAAAAGCTTATGAATATAGCAAAGTAAATTAAATTTAAATCGATTAGGCCGCCATTATCTCCACTATGAAAGTTCTTGGACAAAGATCTTTTATAAATTTATTTTACAAAAGTTATACATAACAGAAATGTTATGGTTGCCAAACAGCCTATTACACTACGTAAGAGATTTTATAAACTATTTTAAAAAGGTAGTGCAAATACAGCTATGGACGACGACGTTCAGGTTGCTGCCATATCTAGTTTTTCTTCGGCAGCCATTCTAGTAGCTTTAACAATGAAAAAGAAGGCCAAGATGAGCCAAACCGTGGATCGCCCGCCATGAGTTGAACGGGATCTACGATAGTTTGGTCCAAGAACTGACAGTGGAAGATCCGAGAAGTTATGTTGACTTTGACTTTGCGATTTCTAGCCACGGGAGAGAGTTACACTAGCCTCTAGTATATCACTCGCATCACCTAGTGCTTCCTTTCAAGCATCATCCATTCAATTTCTTTTTCACGTCTTCAATCGTATACGAGTGTCTTGCAAAACGTCAGCATTATATGTTTCCAAACGTTTGTTTAGATTTTTATAGTCACTATGAGAATTGTCACTGGATTTAGACGCGGAGGAAGCACAATAGACCAAATCTTCGTACCACGAAAAATACAGGCAGAAAGCTACGAACACTTGAAGCCGACGTTTGCATTATTCGTTGACTTCAAATAAGCATACGATAAGGTAAATCGGAAGAAAATGACCGAGGCTTTAAGATTAATGGGAATCGAAGAAAAACTTGTTAGACTAATAACGATATTAATGAAGGAGACAGAAGATAAAGTCAAAATCAACAACGAATTATCGGCTTCTTTTGTCGTTAGAGAAGGAATCAGACAAGGAGACCCACTTTCATCAGTCCTGTTCAGCCTATGTCTTGAATAGATAAGAGATGCGAAGATAAATAGAGAAGGATTACTTATATATATATATATATATATATATATATATATATATATATATATAGATATAGTGATAATAACCAGAAGTAAAGAGGAATTATGCAAAGTGACGAAGAGGCTGGAAGACAAAGCACTGTCAGTGGGTTTGCATACTAACAAAGAAAAAACTAAGTATATGAAATGGACAGAGGAATAGTTTAAAAACGAGAGGTTAACAGTAAAAGCAGCCAGTGGCAAAACTTACCAATTTGAAGAGGTAGAAACGTACACGTATTTAGGAACTGTTTTTAAAAGACCAGATATTGCGGAAGAAATTCAGAATAGGCTGATGATGGGTAACCGGTGTGTTTACACACTGAATCGACTACTAAAGAGTAAAATCGTGTCCAGAAAGGCTAAACTAAGGTTGCATAAAACTATTGTAAGACCTACTGTCATCTATGGCAGTGAAGTATGGACATTAAATAAAGCAGAACAGAACAAAATCGCTATTTGGGAGAGAAAAATCTTCGCAAGATATTCGGTGGGAAGCGGGAGTGCTGTGGATGGGTGCTGATAACGAACAAAGAACTGCAATCTCTTTATGGTTAACCTGATATAGTAGGAACAGTGAAAGCTCAAAGATTGAGATGGTTGGGACATGTCCAAAGGATGACGGAGACCAGAACACAAAAAAGAGTACTAACAAGCTATGTTGGTGGAAAAAAGAGGCGAGGAAGACCGAAAACCAGATGGAAAAAGGAAGTGGAAATGGATATTCAAGAGTTAAGAATTAACAATTGGAAGAAGAAGGCAGTAAACAAGAAAAGCTGGCGACAGGTTACCACTCAAGCCATGGGCCTATTAGGCCTGCAGTGCTGAACTATATATATGATAATTGTCATATAACATGGGAACCTTTCATATTCGGAAATTAGTAGCTTCGTAGGCGCCACATACCATCTGTTGTCCCCCATATTGATACATCTACGAAAAATCTTCAAATATAGGATGAATATAACTTTTATGAAAGTTTTATTTTATAAAAGTTGGCCTATTACACTGCCACATTTCTCTTCCAACTTTTTTTTATCAAATGCCTTTGTCAAAAAACTTTTGTAGTGTAGTGCTGGCCATTCCATTTTTATGAACAAGGAGGTAAGGTGGTCATATTTTTTCAAGTTACAGATTATTCTGGATTTTTATAAACGCTTAACGGATACTAGATCGAAAATGTCGCAGTATGTGCTGTTTGAAATAATTATGACTCACATAATTTTTTTTATAATTTCAGAAGTACTAAAAAACGACTTTTTGTAACATTGTTCACATGAGGAATAAAATTCAGACATGCAGACATGCTCAACAGATATGCCCAGATTTTTTTTTAATTTTCTTCTTAGAATTGACCGTATATACTTTTTACATATTCAATATCAGTTGTGCTTTCACTATCTTCATTAGTGTTGTTTTTCTACTTGCTCATTTTGTACACCCAGTATGATAGTTAGGATTAGGATTAGATCATTTACGTAAATGGAAAAAATTTCAGAGCAATGTCAAAATTTCCGTTAATATAAAGTTTCTGCAAATGATTTATGTTTTTCGTACTGTCTCTCCTTCAAGGATGCGTTTGCAGCTCGACGTCCGAAGCAATCTGAACAGCGAAAAATTATCTTTCACAAAATGAGCAAAATATGGTAAATAAGGTGGGAGAGGTGAGTATCTACTCGTGAAACTAGATCAAATTGTATTTTTCTTAGAATTGAGCTTTTCATTCGGTTTCAGCAGCTGATCTTATTTATTGGTCTTCAAACGTTTAACATGCAGAGAGGCTCAAATTCGATTTAGAGCACTGAAACAACGTGGTCAATTATATAGTTGTGCTGCAAAATTTCATTATCGGCGGCTATTATGTAAGAAACAAAAAAACACGTACTACACTTGTGGTTACCGCTTGCGCTAAGTTGACATTTTGTAGAAAAATACGAAATGTCAAAAAACGTCGAAATGTCACTTTTTAAGGTACGTTATACCCGTGCCGTAATGATTTTTTAATTATACCAAGTAAGTAACTAAATTATTTGGTTTAGTTAAATTGAATTTTCTGGAACCAATTGGAAAAAATTGAAAGTGATATACTATTAAACTAGTTCGCTTTTAGTTTCGGTTTATGTAGAAAAGGTACACTTAAAACAATTAAATATTTCATAAAAACAGTTAAACTGTTTATTTGAATTACGGACTCTGCAGGACTCGGTACTTTACTCGTGAATGATGAGGCGTATGTAACAGACGCAGTACCTACCAGAGACGCGCTTCGAACTCCTCAGTTTCATTTGCTTCATATTCGAATGTTTCTGTTGTTGGTGTATATGGGAGTCACTGCTGACGTGACAATGGAGGGTATTTATACCAAACATGTGCTCAACATGGGCTTGAAGAGTTTGTTTAAAGAGATGTCAAGTTATGTAAATGCGTTGAGTGCAGGCAAGCAAAACATTGTTTTATTATTTGAAAGAAAAGTACAATTTTTGTACACACGATCAAGTGGCCTTATTCAGTTTCAGGTATCCCTTTCTCTACATTCTAAATTTAAAACAGAGAATTGCTTTAGTGATATGTGATATATTATAACCTGTTTCTGGACAATCGGTCAAATAATTGGTGAAACATATAAGTTCACAATCAATGAAAATAAAAAAATCTAATTTTAGGTATTAATTTTTATTTCATATTTAATACGATTCGAAAACATCAATCAATTTTTTGACACCTAAGATTTGTCAGAGCACAGTTACAATATACATCATTGAGTGAGATACAATTTGTTCTTTGAAATTCCAAATACCTGTATTATCCAGATATAATTTTACATCTAAATAAAGTAATTCGTTAAAACTAGGCAAATACTTTTACCCAAACTAATTACGCAAATTGGATAAATATAATTAATATGTTTTACTTAGAGGTGGTAAACTCAATTTATTAGTTCATTAATTTTAAATAAATTGGTGTACTCAATCCAAGTAAACGGTTTAATAACTTTGATTAAACGATTGCGTTTTCGTTTAACTAGTTTCATAGATTCAAGAGGACTGTTTTAGAATTGGAGTTTAATTAAACCAGCTAAACTTATCACCTGTCACTTAATTAATTATTTTTTTATTTGGCCTAAAGAAATGTTTAACTGATTTTATTAATTTCTTTTCAGTCGGTCCAAAATAAAAAACATTTTTTTTATACCTTTAAAATCGTCAACTGGAATAAACTAAAATTTGGTATGAGGATTTACCCAAGTATTGACCACATTCAAAAGTATTTACTTAAAATTAACGTGCACAGGTGGCTGAGATACATCGGATTAGTGTCATTGTTTTCCAAATAAAAATAGTATGTACAGCCCTTTTTTTTCCGAAACCAATTTCTCCTTCAATTTGCTACAAATAATTACTCTTGTGTTTTTTCCTAGAGTGCACTGTTTTCGTAAAAATAAAAAAAAGCAAAGCTAAGCAAATTAGTAGAAGTGATCATGAGTATATCTATACCACAAGACTAACAACCGAGTAATATTCAGAAATATGATGTCCGAAGAATTCGCTACTTCAAAGGGAGTACGTCAAGGCGGAGGACTTAGTCCCCTATTGTTTATAGTATTTATGGATGATCTGATAAGACATTGCAGGCAAAGAACAAAACCAATTTTTGTTCGATACAGGAAGTTGCAAAAAGTGGAATTAGCAGAGTGCGCAATTGCAGATGATTTGGTGTTGGTAACTGGTAGTGTTGGGAGTCTACAGGAAAATTTGAACATTTGGAACACAGCACTGGAAGATAATGGTATGAAACTAAATAAACTTAAAACTAACGTTATGGCTGTGTCAAATGAAAAACTCAATATGGACGTAAGAATAGATAATAAAATTATAACTCCTTTAAATATCTGGGAGCTATATTGGAACCTAACGGCAGAAATGAAATAGACATTTCTGAAAGGATATGAAAAGCAAACAACTTGTACTATGCGATGAGTAAAGGTTTTATCAACAAAAAAGAGGTGTCCAAGAAAACAAAAATGACAGTGTATACAATATATAAACCTATATTGACATATCGACGCGAATCCTGTGTTCTATCGCAACAACAAAAAAGTGAACATCAGGCAGTTGAAATGAAATACTTGAGACGAGTTGAAGGGGTAACCAAAATGGACAAAATAAGAAACGAGACTATAAGAACGGAGTGAGAGACAGAATCTATACTAGAACACATAGAAATGAAGCAGCTGAGATGGTGGGGACAACATACCGGTGAAACAAGTTTGGAAGACTAAGATGCTAGGAAAAAAAAGGGGCAGACCACAAAGAACATGGGAGAATGCCATAGAACAGATATTGATGAAAAAAGGAACGGATTGGAGAGAAGCTAAGAAACTTGCTTTAAAGTATATGTAGGTATGCCGATACCCCTAAAGCACAAGTTATTTTGTAGTAAATGTTTTCTGTTTCTGTTAAAACTGAAGTTATTTTTTTATTTTTTATTTTGTATCGTGTTATATAAGCAATCAAATATATTTTTTTATATTAAATTGGCCTTTGGACGTTTTGTTTGTATGCTCTACGCGTTCTGGCAATATGACGATAGCCAGAACGCATTTTGATCTATACTAAACGGCCAGAAAGCGATTTTTCGGACATTGGCAATATGCTGGTGGCCAGAACGCGTTCTGGTCGTTTTTTTTTTCGATCATTGGCCGAAATCGGTGTTTAATCCTAACATTTTTAAACTTCAACACTCCGTATCTTTTTAATGAAGCCCTTGAGAAAAAATGTTTTATAGAAGACCCCCCTTAAAATGCGGTCCTATGTATGATGTTTCATAGGACTTGTAAATCACCCTGTATTACACATTCAACGGTAGAAAGACTGGGATCTATATACCTACGTAAAATAAAAAATAAATATGAGGGAACCTGGTAAATTGTGGATATTAGAACAGAATTTTTCGGTAGGAAGTGCTAAAACAGAACAAGAGCCGGCACCGCCGCAGGAAGTAGCCTTGCGGGTCCAAAAGTCCACAACCAATGCCACCGTAGCAAGAACGTAGAAACGTACTTACCATCATTCGCGCCATTGTTGGCGGGAAGTGTTGGACAAGGATGGAAGACCCTGCCAGAGGCGCACGGTATTGGCTTAGGGTAGGTAGTGAATGTAATTACATAAAGGAACAATTTGGAACCGGTTGGGCATAGCAACTACGAATGTGGCTATGATATCTGGGCTCAAAAGCAGAGTGTAATTTGGAAATAAAATCACTGATTAATCATGGGCGCCCATTAGGCGGGACAAGGGGGAGCATAAGCCCGCCCTGATTTCGGCTTGAGAACTAAAATATACCTAATGAGGAACCGTTTCTCGAGCAAGGTGTGGCTTGTGTTTTTTTTTGTTATCAAAACATACGCAAAGCGAATACCCTCACTTTAATACCTGTTCTGCGGAAGGTAGTATAAGAGGGCATCTAAGTCTATATCCTACCTGTAAGAAAGGTTGGTTTCAATCTTTCTGCTTTCTGTGATCCATGAGTTTCCGCACCAGTTAACCTCGTTGCGGGAAACATGGAAAATTCCGACGGGAAAGTAGGATTGCACGAACCGGAATTCTGTGAAACCAATGGTGAAATACAATTTATGTACCTATACCATCACACAAGACACGAAATGGATAGGTTGCCGTTTTGTAATTTCAGTACCTTAAATACATTGCCAATCACTGCTTTCAAGGTCATAGTTGGAAAATGCTTTCATAAATTATTATAATATATATATATAAAATGAAAATTGATTGTATCAGACTTCAAAGTTGTACTTGATCTTCGAAATGGTAGTTACTCTACTTGCTTTTCGCAGTGGTGCTGGTTGGTCCCGTTGAAGAAGCTGATCTGCTTCGTTATATTTTCCAACTCAAATAAAATTGTTCCAGAATAAAAAATAAATAGGCATTTGGTGGTAGAGCCAAGGTGACGGTGCTAGACATAAATATGGATTCATCTAAAAAAATGTGTTTTAATCCAATTCAACAGCGTCACTTCTACGACACTGCCTCCGTCGCGCGGTTGTCTAGCAAACCGGTTTTCTAAAATTAGCAGAATCCTTCCAGCATGTAGGGTGAATTAGGGTGTCTGGTGTCTGTGATAATCTTTCATGATTTTTATGTGAACGACATGCTGTTGACCGAGTGCAAAAATATTTCCATAGACATTGTTGACAAGTTGAGTTATTTATTTTAACAGCTTGTTTAACTCGTCAAAAGAAGTTGATATACCAAAAATCACCTATATAAAAGTTGCATAATAAGAGAGTTAGTTTGCATTATTGAAAATTATTTAAAAAATCCTGATAAAGTTGAATGGGTACCGTTCTTACAAAAACCGGCGAATCCACGACTCTTCACAAGCTTCGAAAATAAAATCCTGGTGTCCACGAATTAAATCACGCATTTTCAGTGCGCTGTTGAAGTTCTTCCAGAGTATTTACCATCATGATATACCTACCAACTCTTTCAAATAGCCCCACAGAAAAAAAATCGCAAGTCGTTAAATCCGGGGAACGAGCAGGCTAAGAAATAGGTCCATTACGCCCTATCCATCTATTCGGAAACTCATTATTTAGATGTTCATTAACTTCTCGTCTAAGGTGTGGTGGAGCCCCATCATGTAGGAACCACATATTCTATCTCACATTTAGAGGAACATCTAATAATTGTGGCAGATTGTGTTGCAGAAACTCTAAATTTAGTAAAAAAACTATGTTGAAAATGAGTTCTTCTTACATCATGCAGATTTTCCACTGCACAAACATGATTATTGTAGAAATTGTCAACTCCATTTCGTGTAAATGTGGTCTGTGCACAAAATTAATTTCGTAAAATCTTCATTGCAATTAAAATGCAACTCTTCTAGGATGATCTTCAGGTTGTAATGATTGTACCTGTTGATAATGATAAGAACAATACTGTTCTTGTATTGTCTTCCACACTTTACTATGAAAAACTTGAGCTGCTTTGGCTCTAGTAGGGATCTACTCATTGTTGGGTCGGCTTCGACCATTTCTAAAATTTGAAACATTTCAGGTTGAGCAGGTCTTCCAGCGTGACTTCCTCGTTGTTTTGTTAAATATCCTGTGGCATGAAACGAAGTCTAATAACTAAACTTACAAACATCCGTGGGACCGGCTGATTTCTGAAAGGAAACCTTTCCGCATACAACCTGCATAGTGCGGCTGCATTTTTTTCGCACTCTCCGTAGTTAGCATTATGTCCACTAGTTCATTGTTTCCGTAAACGTGGGCTATTTATGCGCACAAAATAATGAGACAAATGAAAGTATACCCACTATGAAAAGACTGATACAACTGATCGAACCAGAGACTTGTACTGAAAGCCATACAATACCTCAAAAAGTTTGCCAAATTTAGATAAGCGATAAGAGTAGTAAACAAAAAACGGATGGATTTCCAAAAGCAGTTTTTTTTTTGTTTTTTTGTTGCTCGAAAGATGTTGTTTTGCCTAATTGAATGAAGCAAAGAAAACGAGGGCTGAGTGATAAATTGTTGCTGCTGCGCATGACTTAAAATTTAAAAGCATTATGGAATCTACGTTTAAATGCTGTAAAAAAGACGTTAATAATAAATATTTCTGCATAATTTGCTCAAGTATTTTCCATCCGAGCTGTGCTGCAAGGATCGAAGACTTTAAAATAAGATAGGTAGACCAAGTATTGCGCCACCGTAGCCGGTCGCCGCAGGCTTATTACCTAACTTCCAACCGACCGACAACCGACTCGAGTTGGTCTATAGTTGCTGTCAAACGCAAACTTCGTATTGTGTATCATTCACCGCGTCTCAATCGGCGACCGGCTACGGTGGCGCCTCTATGCAGCAACTGGTGAACGAAACGTGCATTCTTTTGTTAGGAGTATCAAAAAATTGGTATTCCCTAACTCATTGACAGCGACCCAACAGCAACTCACTAGCGATTTGAACTGTCAAATTAACAACTGCTCTGTGGTAGTCGACTAGTCGGTCGCTAGTCGGTTGTTAGTGTTTTGTTTGGATAAATTTGTCAAAACTATACATTTTTTTAAAAAGAAAATTAAGTATAACAAGTTCAAATAAGGAATACAATAGCTTGACGAGTCTAAGAAGTGATTGTATGCTCCCAATTTGTATTTTCAGCAATTTTGATTCTCTGGATGGCTCGTGCAGTTTTACTTATGGAAGCATTGGAAAGCGAAAGAATGCACGTTCAAAGACGGCAAACTTCTCGCATACGACGTATTTTTCAGTATCTATGACTTGAAGTTCATAACGATTATAAAATAAGCTTACTTGCACCTTCCTACTACAGTATAGAAACATATTGGTTGTAGGTATTAGCAGCACTTCTGGTGCTGGCCGCTGGTTCCTACCAGAAACATATTGGCATAGGTTATTTACATGGGCTCAGTCAACCTAGTGTATCCAAAGCACTAAGGGAAATGGTGGATGCATTAAATCATCCAGACATTCTATCTAAGCATATATACTTTCCTCAAACACTGTCAGAGGGGATAGTAATTATATTGCCATACATATTAAGAAAGTGAGATTGCATATCAAAATTGTATGTTGGATCATTAACTGAGAAACTAATGAGTTCAGCTACATCAAAAATTTCCAACACATAGAAGTTTAATTACCTGATAAAAATTCCAACACTGTAGAAGTTGAAATTTCCTATTAACAAGAGTGTTCATCGATTCTAAGATCAATACCTCTGATTCATTATCTGTAAGATTAACAATACAGCAACAAATCCGAGTCTTAACATTTCACATATTTTAGACACCGATTTCAGCACTAATATCTACTTTGATTTTTTTACTTTAGTTGTAATTATAGTTATATGCCAGCTTGAAGATTAGTAATAATGAAACATATATATTTACA